TAACAAATTCAGCTGGTTGTGCGAAATGCAGCTCATAGTTTCTTTGTTCTTTGTTCTTCACACATATTAGTAAGGATGTCAGAGTATCAAAAGTCAAAGCCAAAATTCTATCTCAGGCTAAGATACAGGCTTATATGCTAACAAGAGGGAATCCCCTAGAAACAGTCATGTTCCAAACCAGATTAGTGTCGTATCCTTGGGGCAACAGGTTTAGGAAGAAATCACTTGAGACCAGAGAGCTGCTAGTTTACAAAGCAACCATTTATTTACAGACACTGAGCTGAGCTAACCAGCCAAAACTGGTTGGGCTATCCCCTAATAATCTAACTCAGTTGCCATAGGAACAAAAACCACAACAACCAAATACACAACATATTCCTCTCCCCTTAATAAGAACATCCCCTAAATAAAACAAACACTAGACTAGAGAAGGAGGGTAGACTGCTTCCATTCCCAGCTAAACTCTGGGGATTATTTTGCCCCATAACCGTGGGTTCGCCCTAGCTAAAGATCCAGCCATTGAGGAGGTCTTCTGTCTCTAGGTAGATTACGGTGAACTTCTGATGTTGTTGCACTCAAAAGTACCTTGGGCGCAAGCTTGACAATGGGCTCAGGGTTCGCAGTGCAAACGGGTGAGGAGGTGGTATCAGCTCATGCCAGGCAAAGGGGTATCTCAGCCACCGGCAGTAATGGAGGAGAACAGTCAGGAACAGGTGATTCTTGATTCGGTGTCTTGCCAGAAGAGGTGAAGTCAGACAACTCAACTGAAGATGTGTCCTGAGGACTGGCATGACCTGGCAACAGCTGATCTATATGTCGCTGCCAGGTAAGATTTTCTGCAGTCTGGACTGTGTAGGTGTGAAAGTTACTAGTGACCCCCCTTAACAGCTAGCAGCCTTTATGTCATCCAGTGGCCATTAGGGGGAAGCAGATACCTCACTACACAGTAGCCTGAACTTTTGAACTGTCTTCTCTCCTCTGCCTTGAGGCAGAGGGAACTAGCCCCAAGCTGGTTTTCACTGACCAGATAGCAGAAGCACGGGTCTGGCAACCACCAATCAAGTGTTAACACGGCAAGGGCCTTTGTCTGAATGTGTATAAAGGATCTGTAAAATGTGTGTAAGACAGAGTTTTTGTACCAAGGTGCAAAGCTCTCCTTTCTTCTGCAGATATTGGCTCTCAGCTAGGTGGACCCGATATTTCGGTGACAGTTTCTGGCGACTCCGCCGGGACTCTCCTAGCTCGGACATTGGACTCTGGACGGCTGCGGCGAACTGGGAATGGCGCCAATGGGGTGCTTAGCCCCTCTTCCTCACTTCACCGCGGCCCCTGGGGTTCATGCTCCGATAAGGTGAGCCCTAATAGGATAAGGAGACACTATCTGGTTCTGGTCTGGTTCTGTTCTGGTTAACCGGTTAATGAATTTCTGTCTTAAACATTTGGGCGTTAAGTGTGTGGACGGAACTGAGCCTCTCATTCGTAATTCCTCAGAGTGGAAGCCATTGCGTGCGATGAAGCTTCTGAGGTTGAATTGGGATCCTTCTGTCCCATCCCCTGTAGCGGTCAGTATTAGTAGAAATTCCTGTAATAGGATCCTATTAGGCCATAATTCCCTCTGTTCTCTGTGTAATTCTCTGTTAGAGTGTCAGCAGGCAGATGGGTGGGTCTCTGGTAAAACCTTCTAAGGATAGTCCTTTGGATTATATGTTAAGCAAATGTCCCTTACCCGGTGTTCAAAAAGGGGATGTCAAGGAAGTGTTTTTTACAACTTTGCACCCAGGATTGGCCAGCCCTGGGGACTGCATGGCCCGAGTATGGCTCCTTTGATATTCCTACCCATTTAACTCCCTTGAACCTGACAAGCGCCGGGGCAAATGGATTATTGGTTTTTGTGGGACAATGAGGCTCATCATCACTTGAAGAAGGTTCAGATTCAGGCCCCTCTATTCCTGAAAGCTTCTGCCCCTCACAAAGCTGACTGTTGGGAGGATATCCCCCCCCATGTATTGCCCTAGACCACGGCCACCCCCGGTGGCAGCATTACCAATTGTGGCGGACCTGGTACCCTCCTCAACGGAGCCCGGGGCAGCAGTTCTACCGAGACAGATCCCGCCAACAAAGATTGAAGATGCCACAATGCAGGTCAGCGAATCAGCTAGTGGAGCCACCGGCAGTGGGTACACTACTTCCCTGTCTGTTCCCATCCTTAGTCCATCCCATACAAGGAAGGGGGCACTCTATGGGGAAGAGACCTTATGAACTGGCAAACCACTACGCCTTGCCTTAGGGACGACCTGGACGTCGTTCACAGGCGATTCCGTGCCATTTTCCAGTCTCATAATCCTGATTGGCAAGACGTGGGCCAACTTTTAGATTGCCTATTGCGCACGGAAGAGAAAGAGCAGGTACTGAGGGGGGCCTGGGAGGCTGCAGAGGCCACCAACGATGGTCACAATTTTATAAGGTTCGTCAATCCGCCCCGTTGGAACCCGAATGATTTGACCCAACAATCAGATCTGAAGAAATTCCTAGACTATATTTTGACAGGCATAAAACAAGCGGGAGAAAGAACTTTAGATTGGACAAAGGTCCATAATACTGTGCAAGGGAAAGAAGAACACCCTTCTGACTTTTATGAGAGACTTTGTAAAGCATTTTGTATCCATACTAATATAGATCCCAAGGCCATGGACACACAGTCCACGGTCAGGCTTATTTTTATTTCCCAGTCAGCCCTGGACATCAAGAAGTGGTTGCAGCAGCTTGAGGGCACTGAAGGAAAATCCCTGGAGGAACTGGTAAGCGTGGCCACCCGGGTATATCATACAAGGAAAAAAGTTCAAGAGACCAAACAGGTGAGGATGCTAGCAGCCCTTGTAAACACTGGAAATGAAAAACAGGGAGGGTGGCAGTGACCCCCCAAGTGGCAACCAAAATCAGATTATGGGGGGACCCCGAGATGCACCAATGACATATGTAACTACTGGTTTCAGAGTAACAGCCGTGTTAGTCTGTATCCGCAAAAAGAAGAACAGGAGTACTTGTGGCACCTTAGAGACTAACAAATTTATTAGAGCATAAGCTTTCGTGGACTACAGCCCACTTCTTCGGATGCATATAGAATGGAACATATATTGAGGAGATATATATACACACA